AAAATTAGTCAAAGAAAAACAAATATCATATGACTTCACTCATATGTTCAATTTAAGACAGAAAACAGGTGACTATAAGGTAGGGAAGCAAAAATAATATGAAAATGGGGAGGGGGACAAAACGTAAGAGACTCTTATATACACAGAACAAACTGAGGTTGCTGCAGGGGTTTTGGGTAGGGGAATGTGCTAATTGGGCAAGGGTCTTTAAGGAGGACACTTGCTGGCATGAGCATTGGGTGTTCCGTTTATGGGATAAATTACTGTAATCTACTCCCGAAATCATTACTGCACCGTACCTTAAGTAACTTGGATGCAATTTAAAAAATTAATAAAGTAAAAAATAAAAGGAAGACTACAATGTCACATTCACTTGTTATGGGATGTTTCTATTTCTTACTCATCACTCAGAATTGGATAACAGTTATTTCATAATGAGATGGCTACTTGTAAAGATAAGACATATCGAGATTTTTTTTACAATTAACATACAATCCTATTTTGTTTAAGTTTCCTCCTGGGGAATCTGAGCAATCTGCACAGAACATGGGATTTTCTGGGAAGTAGTATTCATTTCCCATATTTTCATAGTATGTCGCCGCATTCAAATATATGGGGCCCTTGGAGGATGTGAGATATAAAAGCCTTGATCACTTGAAGCCTGGATAAAAGAATTTGAAAATGGTATGAAAAGAGGATCTAAATATCTTTTACCCTTTAAAACGTTTCCTGTGTTACTATAGGTAAAACATGTAGCATATGAAATAGGACTTGGGTCATGTATTGTTCCTCCATGATAATGTCCCCAAAAGTCATTTCTAATGAACGGGTTGGATCACAAACTGAATCTCACCAACGTGCACACCGCACATTGGTGCTTCTCCGACTTTGCACATAATGACACGTGAGCACCACCTGGCGTGTTACCAGCTCAAGTTCTTAGTGTCACTGGCAGGTATGCATCATGCCCTCCCCCTCCCTGACATGAAGGCTACATAAAACCATTGTCATACCTGTGAGGTCACACGAGGGCCTGATATCTGAATGGGTTTATCTGGATTGATGTTAGTAGGCTTTTCTTTGACCTAAAAGTTTTTTACACTGTTGCCCCACGTACTTGTGTCCAAGAGCTGTGATACAGTCAACTTATGGACCTTCTATCACAGCCATGATCAAAATGCAAGAAAAAGGGATATGCCTCCAGCAATTGTTAGAAAATACTAAAATATTAATATTTCTGGTGTGCTTGGGTGGCTCAGTCAGTTAGGCATCCAAATGTTGATTTTGCCTTGGGTCATGTTGTCACAGTTTGTGAGTTCCAGCCCCTAATCAGACTCTGGGCTAGCTGCTCAGATCCTCCTTGGGATTGTCCCTCTCTTTGGCTCTCTCTGCCTCTCACTCACTTCTGTTCTCTGTCTCTCTCTCTCTCTCTCTCAAAATAAATAAACATTAAAACAAATTTAATACATAATTGTTTCTGACACTATTGGTGTTACATATTCTTATTGGCTGTGTTTTTATCATATGTGTGTAGATGTCTGTTTGCAATTAGGAAAGAAATAGTGCTCCCAAAAGGGAGTGAAATAACAAAATCTTGTGGAGGTTTTTGAAAAAATAATATGATGCAGATGCTCTAAATCAGAATCTCTGGAGGTTGCAATGAATCCATGAACTCAGATTTTGAACACTCACTTGCACGAAAGAGGAGATAAGAAAATCCCCTTGAGAGTCGTCAGGGGAAATGTTGGATGACACGTGCAGGACACAAAAGCAGAAAGACTCTGAACTCAAATTCTTCCATCAGAGGGTCCTGCCCCCCAGTTATCTGGAGTCATAGCCCCCACAGAACACCTTCCTCATTGCTCCCGTCACATCCCTGTTCCGCAGAGTATATATGAAGGGGTTGACCATGGGGGTGACAATGGTGTAGAAGAGAGAAATGAATTTGCCCTGATCTTGGGAGTAGTTGTTGCTGGGCTGCAGGTAAGCATAGATGGCCGTGCCGTAGAACAGGGACACCACCGTGAGGTGGGACCCACATGTCCCAAACGCTTTCCTCTGCCCTGAAGCTGACTTTATTCTTAACACTGCCCTGACAATTCGACCATAGGACAACGTGATTAATGCCACAGGTATGAGAAGAATGATCACACTGACAAAGAAGAGCTCAGACTCATTCACAGTGGTGTCAACACAGGCAAGCTTGAGCAGTGGGGGAACCTCACAAAAGAAGTGGTCTATTTTATTTCTTCCACAAAGTGGTACAAAGAAGGTGAGCACCGTCTGCAGTGAGGAGTTGGCAAAACCAATGAACCACGATGCAGAAGCCATCA